ATAAGAAGCTGCACAGAGAACATGTAGACAGGGTAAAAACATCACTTTTCCTACTCTTTGGTGGTGAAAGCATATTATTACAAGATCAGTTTTGAAACTGCTGTGGCTTTTTGGTGGTGAGTCACAGACGTGAGGTTGGTTCTGTGAGCATGAAATTTAGTCATATGTGGGGGGAGCTGTGCTGCAGTGATCCTTTTTGTGTTAGGGTGAAATCCCCCTGCCTGTTCCAAAATAAACCTGGCAGAAAGGGCCAAATCTCTCATTCCTCTGTCTTAGCACTGAGGCATACAAGTTCTTGACACTCTCCATCAAATCCTGCCTTGTAGTAATCAAAACCTGTTTGTGAGTAAGACAGGTGTTCAGTTGTGCTGTAGATAGTGGGCTACTTAGTAAATTTAAACCTGTTAGTATGGAGAAGTCTATCATATGTCTAAATGTTTTTTAGCAATGTTTTCTGGTTTTCATATTCGTAATATGTTTGTTCGTCTTAGGCCCATTTCCCTTGTTGAACCTTTGGCTGTGTGACTGGTCTGATCTTCAGATCTAGCTGGGAAGACAAAAACTTTATGCAAGACAGTTGTAGACTTTTAAAGTACTTAATTGCCAGATTTTACAAGCAGCTTCAGCTTGTACCTTAAAATGAAGCTGATCCTAATACAAAGCAAACTACTAGGGAGAACATGGGGGAAAACATATTTGGACTAATTCCATTTTTATAATTCCATTTTTTACTTTTTTTTCTCATCTGTAAGAAAATACGTTTAAAAAAAAAACAACAAAAAAACCAAACGACAAAACCCCATCTTTTTGTTTCCTGTAGGAGATTTGCATGGGAACCTGGATGATCTTTTGCTGATATTCTATAAGGTAAGTAGGTAGTCTGTGACGTAGCATTTTTATTTCATGACTTGTTGTTAAGAACACGTATTTATGTCTGCTTTATCACTGTTAGAACTGTACATGCAGTGTGCATGTACCCCACACAGAGTCGTGGAACAATTTGAATGGTGTCTTTGTCATAGCTTTTCCTCTCCATATCCTCCTGTTCACTGAGAAAGAGGAGATCCAGGAGATCTTTCTCTTCCTAAATGTTGAACTGGAGCAGAACCAGAACTCAAGAGGGTTGCTTCCAATATCTCCAAAGTCCTGCTGCAGTTTATATTCCATATTGACTAAAGTCTTCTAAAACCAGGAGCTAACTTAGTTTCTGATGTAACACTATACCATGGATAATTTTGGCCTTCCAGAAAAAAATGCAGAAGCTTTCACTTAGGCCTTCCACTGATACTTGTAAAGTGGTTTTTATTATTATTTGTTTACAGGAAAGAAAAAGAGTTCTCTGTTTAAAAGGTTTTTAAGTGCTGGAAGCAATCACATAGTCTGCACAAAATGGAAATGCCAAGGGCACCCTTCATATATCCCTGAACAACTGATCACTTTTTAATGTTAAAAAAGCTTAGCTCTGTTTTACTGATGTGAAAAAAATTATGCTCCAGGCTATTTTTTCCACAATTGTATGTTTACTGAAGATGCAGGAAATTTCCTGTATTTAGTTTCACATTTATCTTTAGTGTGAATCGCCACCTTTCATATAGCTTTGATTTGAGCTTTCCGGGGAAAAGGGTTTGTGCCTGATCCTTATACATTCATCTGCACTGAATGGAGACCAAAGTGACCTAAACCAGATGTTTAAATGATGTAATTCCCACCCTGCTTCCAACTTTGTTATACTTTATCTGACACTTGTTGAATGGCAACTTTGTTGTTTTGCCCAGGTGCATACCTGAAGCCTGTTGAAGTATAATCAGACCTTTTTAGAGAGTTCCACTTTTCTTATCAGTTCCATTTAGCTGGTCCTTGGCTTGCAGTCTTTTCACTGCCTAATTAAAATATTTGACAGTCTCCCTTTTTGAAACTGGAATAAGAGTAGGATACAGATTGGTTTCATGCACAGGATCTGGAATGGGGAAAGTGTATGTTAAAGATAAATGCTCAGATATATTTACAGCTGCAATCAGCCTGAGTTTTACTCTTTTGGAGGAAACAGGTGATGATGCTTTTCCTCCTCTCTAATGGATGTTACTAAGAGAAAAACTCTAAGGAAGGACTAAATCCTAACTTAGTAAATTTGGAACCAAATCTCCCACTGACTTCAGGGACTAGAGTTTTCCCCTAGTCATTCTTTGTTAAGCTTCTAGAGGAGTCCTTCCATCAAACCTAGTAAAATGGACAAATATTTTGTCATTTCAAAGTGGTTGAGAAAACAGAGAGCACATGATAGAGCTGCTTAGTTACTTAGAAGCAAATTAAACAACACAGGGTTTCCTTTTCCTTCTGAGTAGTTTACTCAGCTGAGCAGCAAACCCAGTTAGCTTCTGGGATCCATTTGTTTATGCTTCCTTAACTCTGTTTCAGTTGGAAGGGATTTCTTCCTCTGAGTTGGTATGAACCACCCATAACGTAAACCAAGAGGGTGCAATCCAAAACAGTGCCATGAGGAGTGTAGTGATCTCAGGTCTACACAGAGCTGTTTAGAGCTAAAATGGCTGCTGAAGCAGTTGGGCGGCCTGCCTGCAGATCAGCACCTTGAGTGTGGGGCTCCATCCAGGAAATCTTTATCATAACACTCTTACAAGCTGCCAACAGCAAACACACAGGAGCTAGCAATCTATGGCTTGTCGATACAGTCGTTCTTAAAATCGGTTTGGATGAGGCTAGGATAATTACTTTTTTTCTCAATAGCCAGTTTGAGGTTCATTCAGTCCTTGCATTAATCTCCATTAAATTACAGCATTTCCTGAAATTCCTTGAAATGTTTGAATTTTAAATTATGTATTGCTATAAAATGGATGCTATGGATAGAAATAGCCTGAAGAAAATACAAAGGACAAATGGAAGTTAATTAACCACTAACCCAGAAGATACAGTAATGATGCCCAGCAGCAGCTTGCTAATCATTAGAGGGTCTTGTTTGCCTCTTCGACATGTCAGAGGCTGCAACAGCCTTTAATTTAGTTTTGCTCTTATTGTTGGTCAAAACCACAGAAAAGGAAATAAAACTTTGCATGACTGTGGAACAGAACTAAAATTTCACATTGAAGGTGGAAGTCCAAACCAAACTTTCATTTAAAACTAAGAGTTGTAGGTAAGTTTTTCCAAAAAAGAATGACAGAGTCTAGAGAGTGCTTCAGTAGATCTGTCTTTCCATGAAGACTCCATTTAGAGTGGCTGTCTGTATACTGACAAGCTGCTCATGATTAACATGCCTATTGGTATTAAGGCACAGCTTTTATTAACTCATCTTTCTAGGACCTGCTTCTGAGTTTCTCCTGTCTGCTGCACGCCTGAAATAGATCTTTTCTTTTTTAAAACCACTACAAGCCACTGCATTAGCAGAGTTTCATGAACTGCCACTCTTGTGAGCAGAGAGAAACCACAGGCCTCCTCTAAGTTAACTTGGAGAATGCTGGGGAGAGGCTATAGTAAAAACCAAGCAAGCCATATTTACAGCATTTGGGGTTCTGCCACCATGGGCATTCCGAGACCAGGATTCACTACTGCATTCTGACATAACAGTAGCACAGGACACTGATAGGGACAAAAAAGACTTTTCGTAATGGATTCAAATTAAGCATTTAATTGAGTCTCTGGCCAAATCATGCATCCTGCAAGAAACCTGCTAAGGCAGTACACCCAGGAATGTCATAGGAACATAGGAAATGTTGGACATTGATGCAATAGCTATATTCAGGAAGTGGGATGTCTTGCAATGCTGCCAAACCTGTTAAGAGTGGCTGCCACAGTTGTAACGTGATTTTATAGAGGTTCTGTTGATGATTCTTGTGCATTCAAATTGTGAAAACAGAGGTTTCGTTTTTCTGGCAATGAAAATTGAAATCATATTTCAATCTTCTTGATTGGAAATGATGAAGCTATACGTAGTTGCTGCTATACTTTCTGTAAGATGACGGCACTCACTGACATGTTGACAACTAATTAATTAAACATACCATCCATTCACAATACTAGCTTCTGATAAGTCACCATTCATGATTAAGCATCTTCAGAAAAAAGTAAGGTAAGAAATACTTGCATTTAGCCTCTTTGCTTTGCGGGGTGGCAAAGTGTAAAGTGAATACAATTCAAGTAATGCTTTCAGGATTAAAGCAATGGGAATCAAATTCTTGAAGTTCTGTATTAAGATTCGATGTCCTCTGGACTATAGTCTTTCTCCTGAGTTTTGGAAGCATAATGTGATCTCATTTAAACACTATTTCCTTTATTGCAGTAGGATAGCAGCATCTCTAAATGTTCTTGGTTTTGTTTCCTTCTGCAGAATGGTCTGCCTTCAGAACAAAACCCTTACATCTTTAACGGTGATTTTGTTGACAGAGGGAAAAATTCTATGGAAATTCTTATAATCCTGTTCGCATTTCTTCTTATCTACCCCAATAATTTACACTTGAATAGAGGAAACCATGAAGACTACATCATGAACCTGAGGTAGATTTTAGGGGGCAGTGAGGGGGGAGTATCTGGCCTTTCACTGGAAACGTTGGAGCTTTTCAATGCTACTTTAGCCACTGTGTCACATTAAAACAGAAATAGTATTTTATTAGGTATTTGGGTGTAGCTTTGCATCTTTGAGATGTGTGAGGGGGGTAAAGAGCATCCTCATTATACACAGGCACTTGAACAGGAGTCGTATCTTGTCTCTGACCTAATCACAGTCCATTGAAGTCAATGGGCTTACTGCAGCTTCCAAAGTATCAAATTTAGGGAAGGGGGGTGCACGGAAGGATGATATTTCAGTTAAAGCATTGGCTTTTCTACACCATAACAAAAGATATAGAAGTATGCAATATAATGGAATCAGTAAACCAGGAGCTGGTATTTCACTTAACTTTAGACTTAGACATCACTTCCCAGACACAAAGGGCAGGTAAATATCCTCACTTCTACAGAGCGGAGGTCCATTAGCTGAGAGGTACCGGTCTGCCCCGCTGCAGGAACAGCTGAGACCCTTCTTTCTAATGCAGACATTTGTACTCGGCTCTTCCACAGGAGTGAGCATGGCCAGTGTCTCTGGCTATAGTGAAAGTGTGACTTGTGGGCAAATTATCTGAAAGAGATGATAACTATTCAGTCTACTCTCTCTGATGCTAAGCTGTCCCAGCAAGCCTTTTGGGGACTGGCTGGTGGGTAAACTTGTATCCCTTCTATCATGTGATGTGTGCATACAGAATATATTGCTGTTTTAACAAGAAAATTGCTGAGTTAGAGGCCCATGTTCAAATCCTATTAATGACCCATGTAAGAGAATCAGGTTCACATGATACTTACTTTTCCAGCACCTAATAAAAAAAAAAACCCACAACATAAACCAAGATCAGTTATTGTATCTATAAGGTAGGATAATTCCCACTTAAAATAGTAGAAAATATTAAGTAAGTCTGTGATGGTATGGAGCGCAAAGATGTTTCCCTGTGTACGGGTCTTTGCTGGGCATTTTGCTGTGCTGCACATCAGTAAATTTGAAAGCTGCAAGTTAGGGTGTTGTGAAAATGCCCTTTCCACCAAGGATCTCTCGGTGTTAAAAGAATGAGGCTTCAAAATCCATGTCCCTTGTGAGGGAAAAGACATGACAGATGACATCATCTAATAAGGTTGAGTGATTTAGGACAAAAACTCCATGGAGTTTTTGTGGGAATTTTTGCCTGTTAACAGTTAGGTTCCTTGAAATTTCTCTCTGGTATCCAAAAGGTAGAACTGCTAAGCTATTTCATTTAGCTGGGAAAAAGGTCACTTAATCATTACTGGTCTGGATTTTGCTCCTGATCTCTTGTATATACAAGAAATCAGTTTAACTCAATCCTTGAGACAGAGCAGAAGAAAGCACATTTTAACTGAGTGAGACAGTATGGCAGGACAAAAAGGCGGTAAGAAAACTCCTGGCAAACACTGTAGCACAGAAAATTGTGCAGAAGGGCATACTGAAAACCAGCTCATTATGCTGTCCTATTTTCAGATACGGCTTCACAAAGGAAGTTTCGAGGAAGTACAAGGTAAGAGTCCTCCTCCTTCCCATATGTTTTCTTTGTAGGCTTGCACATGTAAAATAAAAACTGTGTAAACAAGGAAACTTCCAACAAGTTTATTTAGGTGTAGCACTGACTGACTCTAGAAATGTAGTTGGAATTATTTTGGATTATTAGCAGAATAACTGACAAAACAATTTGAAATGTTAGCCCTTTATGCACAAAGATCTATGGGATGAAATAAATAACATCATTAAGGCCACTCAAGAACACAAAAAGAGGTGAACATGGAAGAAAACCGAAATGCCACAGAGACAATCAAACGGCTCTGAAGTAAATGTTAGAACATGTTTGTTTGACAGTGTTGCAGAGATGTTGCAGTTCAGAGACTCTCCTGGACAGAATGTTAGTACAGGCTGTGGCAGACACTTCAGCAAAATCTTGAGCTTAGAAGCAGTAGAATCTGCCAGAAATAGGGTCTAATATGAACCTATGTTTTACAGCACCATAGGGATCAGATTTTGTGTCTTCTGCAAGACATCTTTAGCTGGCTTCCCCTTGCCACTATAATTGATAACAAAGTTCTTATCCTGCATGGAGGGATTTCAGACACCACAGATTTGGATTTCCTGAACGCGCTTGAGAGAAATAAGGTAAAAGATCATCTTCACATGGGGGTAATTTTGTTTTCTTTAAAAAAATAGCAGTACAAATTCTAAGATCAAGTTCTTTGCATTAGGAAAAGAAATGGCTGCTGTGTAAGGTATGTAAGAGGAAAACAAAAAAGAGTCTTATTTTTCTTCTAAATCATTGCTTAGGGAAGAAAGTTTCAGTTGGGAGCCAATTGTTTGGCTGCTGCAAAATAGCATGGGTCTTTTGACTTTAAAATGTCTAAAACCACTTCAGATACCTCCTTCCTGTAGTGATGATACATCAGCCAGAAGGTATGGGAAGTATTTAATTCTCAGGCATTTCTAGACACTTCATAAATCGATCTAGCCACATCTTGATAGCGCTGACTTTGTCCTGGGGCTGTGCTTCTGCCATCTGTTGTGTGGGGGTGTTTCTCCAGCTGTGAGGCTTAGCTTTGCATATGTGTGAGAACCTTTCCAGGAGGATCAAACATCAAGACCTGGGCTTGAAAAAAACTACTGTGTTTCAGGGATTTAGAAGACACAAATGTTGGGGGTTTTTATTCTTAAATGGTGAGCAAACACAGCTCCTTCAAATCAGTGAAAAATGGTGTGGGTCTCAATTTGGACAACTAAATCGAGATGTCTGCTTGTGATGAGGGTGCTGAGGCTCCTTATGATCAATGGAGATCCTGTCTTATCATTGCTCTGGCATAGGTCTCTAGTGCTGTTCATGGAAGCACCCTGTAGGGATGTCCCCTCTGGCCTTTGCCTGCCTCTGGACAAAACCTTCACAGGTTCCTTCCACCAAACTCCTGGTTGACATCTGCCCACCTAATGTTAATTCACACACACGGTAGAACATCCCAGGTGGCATGAGATACCCACATTTAAGTGACCTTGTGTACCTTGTCATCCATGTCTGTGAAATCAAGAGCTATTTCTCTTATCCTTGTTTTCTAATGCAGAAATAAATGCTTTAGAGGACAGTTGGGTGTATCTCTTGTTTCTTAAAGATGTGAAAAGGGCAATTAATACTTCTGGTCATGGGAGTCTAGACTCTATTGGCTGTACCAGTGCACAGTAAAATTGGGTTCCTAACTACAGATGTAGGTGTCTTAATTGTGACCTGGCTTCTGCCCACACTTTCACCAAGGCTGGGCTTAGCATGTTACTGACAGAGTATCTGTGAAAGGCAGAATTAACAGGTCAAAGCTGTTGTCACAGGAGAGTGTTGCTAATGAGACAAGCGTGGGCCACAACTCGGGGCAGTATCACTCAGGGCCAACTGATGTATTTTAATTGGCACAGCTGGAAACTGACAGGTCTTAAATACTGCTCAGTGCACTGGGGAATAACCCAGTGTTTCACATTTTGTTTTGCATCAGTCTTTTTCTTTATTAAAGAGTAGAATTTGGGGTTGCATGGGCGTGTGCTTTGTCGTTGGGTTTCTTTTCCTTTGGAAATGAGCTAGTATGAGAAAATCTCAGAAGAAAAGGTAGTCACGGGAGAGGAGTCTGTATTAACTTGCATTCGTGGAGCCACAGCACACAGCTCCAAAAAAATCAAATGCCCATGCATATTGGAGGAGGTTGATTTAACAATGAAAGGCCTGATAAAATACTTCATAAATTTCACTGTTATCCTCCTGATACTCCACTTAGCCAAATTAATAGCAGTATGGTATTGTAGCAGAACAGTAGTGAATGCAGTTTTTTCATCAGTACAGTATAGATGTATATTTTCAGTTTCCAGTGAAGCTGGCCACTTAAGTTTCCTCCCGGAGCCCACACTGTACTTACTGTATAATAAGACCTTATGATTGACTATGGCTTGGAATGAATCTGTGGGTATGAATAAGATTATGAGAGCAGCTCTTAACAGGTTGGTCACTGATACATAAAAAGCAAAATTTCTGCAAGTGACAACCACCTGTAGCTTTCACCAAACCTGTGAGTTCATGACATTATGAGAGCTCAATACTGAGTACAGAAAAAGGGGACTGATGTGCCTTTCAGCTAACATCCCTGTATTGTGTTTATGTTCTGTTAACTCTTTCCATTTTCTTTTTAATTATTATTTTTTAAATAGGTGAAATCTGTGATTCAGCCTCCGAGGTCAGTAAGAGTCAGACAGGACCATGTGAAGAATATACCCACAACCAGACCCAGTGAACAGATTGCCAACCAGAATCTTGCACAGAAAACACAACGCATCTCTTTATCAGGCTCCACTGGGCCTTCAGGTTCAAATTCATCTTCAGACCCTTCTGTGAAGGAATGGAAACAAGTATGTGAAACCAAAGACAGACTGATACTGAACCCCTCCTGCACAAAACCAGCTGGTGCTCTGTTCAGGCAGTATGTTTGGGTCTGAGGGAACTGCCTCTTAAGAAACCTATCACTGTTGGGAGTATACTGGTCAGCTATTGGTTACTTGGATGCTTTCTGTAGACCTGATAAGAAAGGCTTGTGCTTTTATACAAGTACAGTTTACCCAGTGTTTTCTTAAGCCATGATGAGGAAACTGCTCAGTATGACCTGTGTTTGCACGCCCTCATGTGGTTGGATCTGTTGGCACATACATGGTTGTCGATTTAAGTAGGTCAGACTGCAATTGTTGGTGATAGCGAACACCTTACTTTGGCTGTGGTTTTGGCACCTAAATGCTGACTGTGTCCAAAAAAACCCCAGCTCCTACAGGCTGATTGCTCAACAGTGAATAGTTTTCGTCCTCTGGCCGTTCATTTCCTCTTAGAGGCAATATGGAGCTCTTGTCGTACTGTAATTTAATAAATTCTGACAATTTGAAAAGCTTAATTTGCACAGCAATTCAGAAGCTCAGATTGAGTTTTATGTAAGTTTCTTTTTCTGAGCTTCTCATCAGACAACTGCTTTAAGAGGCAGACAGTTTTCTTTAACTTCTTAAGAAGCCTGTCTCTGAAAATGTGATTTCCCAAGATTACCTATCTGACCTACAAACTAACAAAATGGGCACAAGTAACGCCCCCAAATTTGACACTCTCCCAGCTAACCAAGCATCCACTGAGCCATGCACACAAAGGTGAAGTGGAATGTATTAGTGTAAACCTTATCCAGTGAGGTTTAAACAAACACATTTTGCCTACTGTTTGCTACTGACCAGACTTATTTGGTTAGGTAACTTTAAACCATGATAATTCATCCTCATTTCTGAATCCTGACATCATAATGTAAAATCCTGTTTAGAAGTGGAAGCTAACTGAAGACAGTAAAGCCAAAGGCAACTCTTGTCATGTTTAGAGCAGGCACTCTCAAGCTTAGTTTAGGTGAAACCACTGTCCTGTATGTTTGTCAGGTCTGTGCTGGGAAATTGAAAATGCTTCTCACAGCTGTATGTGAAGAAGGCAGCTTTTGCTCTCTTTGAAGTAGCCCAGGTACTATTCCTGATGCGCTTACTTGGGTCTGGAAACCTCAGCTGTAAAGGAGATTTCTGAAATATTATTTCATCTGAAAAAAGTTCATCCAAAATTCAGGTAATGCTTCTTAAGAAAAGCAGAGCTTTCAGCTCAGAAGAATGCCCTGCTGAAAGGAAAAAAGGCCTACTTGTTAGCTCAGGTGCAATTTTGGCCAGTGCTCTGTGGCTTTTGCTATGGCCAGTACTTGCAAGAGCCACAGCCTGTCATTCCTCACCTATGAGTCTTCACTTGCTTGCATTTGCCACTTATAGATCCTTGACATTCTCTGGAGTGATCCAAGAAGCCAAAGGGGCTGTACACCAAACAAGAGTCGAGGAGGAGGTTGTTACTTTGGTCCTGATGTCACTGCCAAGCTGTTTAAAAAGTATAATCTGAAGATGCTTATCCGGTCTCATGAATTTAAGACAGAAGGTTATGATATCAGTCACAATGGGAAGGTAAGATGCTTCCAAGTAAAGTAGAATTCTCCTGTGAATTTCATAGGCACATCCACAGTATATTTGCCTGCAAACTGAGTGACTTCTTTAAAATGAGACTGGGGGAATTGTGCGCTGGTTAGAACGAACTACAGAGTTCTGACAAACACAATTCTTTACAGCTTCAGGAAGTGGGGCCTGGCTTAATACTTGTGTGAAAACATGAACATCAACAAAATCCCTGAGGAGAGTTACGTGTAAATACAGTGCAAGAGATGCTCTAAGGCTCTAAAAGCCTTTTAACTTCCTACTTTCTCTTCTGGACCTGTTTTCTGACATGTGCAAGAGACGCTCTAAGGCTCTAAAAGCCTTCTCACTTCCTACTTTCTCTTCTGGACCTGTTTTCTGACATGGGAGCCAGCAAGAATCCTGAAAACCAGGTCTCTCTTAGAAAGAGATTTCTGTTAAACAGCATGTTATTATCACACTGCCCCTGAATTGAAGTCTTCCTATGACAAGCCAAAAATACAGGCCTGGAGCTCTTACTCAAAAAGTGCGAGCTATTTGGTGAACAACATAGTTGTTGACTTCTGGTTTTACATGTAGATGCTTAATTTTGGAACCTGCATGTTTTTATAAGATCAGTTTCAGAGATCAGTCTCAAGAGTTGTTCTGTCCAATCCAGTTCCCTTGTTTCCTACGACCAGGTTATCACTATATTTTCTGCCTCTAACTATTACGAAGAGGGGAGCAACCGGGGAGCGTATATCAAACTGAATCCTGAACTGATTCCTCGGTTTGTACAGTATCAAGTCAGCGAGCACACACAGAGGCAGAATCTTCACGACAGGTAAAGTGTGCAATGAGCGTGTACTCACCTACCATGCAAATACCTGCCACAAATCTATAGCTTGAGTAATTGAACAGGCATCTATTTTCCTTGGGTTTCCTTGCAAATTTTACAGTTTAAAAACTAATATATATAGGAGACAAAACGTTCTAAGTGTTCTAGCTGGTTTCCTGAGAAGCTTCCAAAGGTAATTCGTTGCAGTAAGTGGTTAGAACAGACAACTGTTAGGGACCCATAATGGGCTGGCACCTGTCTGTCAGGTCTGCTTTAAGACTGCAGTGTTAATCTGGATAAAGCCTGTTACAATCAAGAGCCAAAACAATTGATCATGACAGCTCTGCCACGCCTAGCACTGTGGTCACATTTACTAATGCAAAGCAGCTTAGAATTACCTGCATAAATGTGATTATCTAATAAATGCAGATGATTCTTATGGGGCTTAGTTTTGTTGGTTTTGTAGTTTGGATCCCCCCCCGTGTTGTCTTGTAGGATGACCTTAAACATAGTACATGTTAAAGGGTATAGGAATTCGATAATGAATGCTGAAAAGCATAAAATGGTAGAGGATTTACATCTTTCAATGATCTGTTCTGCACTTTTTCCCTCCTAGGGTTGGTACAATTGAATCATCTGCCTTAAAGTCCTTACGAGAGAAGATTTATGCTTACAAGCCTCAACTTACTAGTGCTTTTGCACAGTATGACCTCAGTGGCACAGGTAACACCACCTCTCTGCCCAGTTGCCACCATGGGGAACGCAATTTCCATGAGCATGGGGGGCAGAGGGGACAAACCCCATGGAGAGGGGTCCTGCCTGCCAGTGTAAGGCTAGAGAGCAGCAGGGACTGGTTGAGCTTATGTTCTTCCTGACCACAGAGGACAGGTTTTACCAGGTGCTTAGCTCCAGAAAACAACTGGAGGGGCTGAAGCTTTAAGTAGGAAAAAGAAAATGACTGAAACACATGGGGAAATTAGGAAATGGTGTTTGTTCCTGGGCAGTTTGGGCAGGTAGATCCAGCTCCAGAAGATGAAAGGTCACCACCTTCACTCAGGAGTGTCTTCAGAAGCTGTCAGATAGGGAACTGGGGTCTCAGGTGAGAGGTAACTAGTCTCCCCCTGAGTCTGGGAGAGGTATCTGAGGAAAGCTGGCTAACTGGCTGTGCCACTAGGAGACACGTCTGAAGAAAAGCCAGTGGTAAACCAATACATGAACCTTTTATGCAGGAGCAAGGAGTAGATGATTTCTAGCACAGATACAACTTTTTGCTTATGATGGCTTCTCACTTGACTGGGTTGTTATCTGTGCCCCTAAAAGGACTATCAATCAGTAACAGGAAGGTACTGCTTCTCTGGCCACTGAACAATTGTTTAGTGTTATTTCTGTCTTGTTGGGTTTTCAGCCACGTCTCTCTAGTTGCAGCTCAGCTCAAACCTGAAGTATACTTCATGACATAATCTGGTTTTCTGAAAAGGTATTAAAACATGCTGGACATCATAATAGCATCACAAAGTTGTTGAGGTCAGAAGAGATGTGAGGAAATGGCTAGTCCAACCCCGCTGCTCGCTGTTGTGAGGGGGTTTATCCCAGTGTTACTGAGAAAATGTTCGTGTTTTGCAACCATTTTTAGAAAGAAGGCATGCTGGTGACTGGGTGAGTGCTGTGTCGCATACTGCCTGTAACCATGAACTGGCCCCTTTCTGGCAGGCAGGATTTCTGTCCATGACTGGGCTGCTGCGATGGAGTCTGTCCTACAGCTGGGACTGCCCTGGAGGATGCTGCGGTCTCAGTTAGTACAGATGACCCCAGATGGAGAAGTTGACTTTATGACATGTTTTTATGATCTGAAAATAAGTCAACCTGTAAAGGAGGTAAGGATGAAAACACCTCTTAGCAAGGCTTGGAGGAGCAGCTTTTGGTGCAGCTTGAGGCACAAGACAGTTGTTTGGCCAATCGGGTAGACAGCTACAGCTGAACAAGATGCCAAGCTTCCTTTTATAGTCACTGGAAGGAAATGAGCACTGCTATGGTACAAATCATCATCATTCCCTGCTAAGGTAGATGCTTAAAATAGGTTGGATGAATCACATGCTAGAACTGCTCCTTACTTTCTGTTGACTCTCAAGGGCATTTAGATAACGTAACTGAAAAGATGCGATAAATCCTACCCAGATCACTTCCAGCCTCCCTCTTTTGAGATGAGCTTTTCAAATGTGCTCCATAGCCAGTTCAGGCACCTGTCACATTTGGGAGGGAGTCACAGTTGTAGATGGCCTTTTAGAGGTTTAATGGCAGCTGAGGTCTCTTTTACAGAGTCCAGCTGTTACCGAGTGGCTGCACAGTGCTTTGGTACTTAGCTAGCGCCACCATTTTTCTAAGCAGCAGGATCCATTCACATACGTACAGCAAAAACTTTGTACGTGCTCATGGCATACAGCATGTTCCCTACATGATCCACATTTCCACAAATAATTACAGAAGGTAGGAGGTGTGAAGGGCTCCTTCCCCCTCCAGCCCTGCCATCTGAAAGTGACAGGTTTTGGCTGATTATTGCTCAGGGCAAGGCACAAAGTATCATTCCAGGGAACTCAAGCACAAGGATTGGGGTTTATTTTGAACATTTGACAAGTTAAACTGGGAAGACAGAATTGGCTAGTACATATTCTGTTGGTTAGACTAACTCGAACCAAAGACTGAATTGTTTCCTGTATGTGATTTCAAACCCAGGTTCAGCCAGCTTTGGTGGAAACACTGTGCAGATACAGGAAGGATCTGGAGATCATCTTTAATATCATTGACAAAGATCACTCAGGTAGGTCTAGGTAACCTCACTGTGCCAGTTCTAGAAAACTTGTACCAGTTACTTTTCCCCACTGTGTCTCCTCCTTAAGGCTTCCAAATATAGAGGAACCAGAGGTGATGTCACTTTTCTAGTTTAGTGAAGACTAATTTAAGCAGTCAGGCTGTAACCATATAAGGGACAGTGCACATAGCCCAGCTTGAGAAAAAAATTCTCACAGAGCCCATCTCCAGTACTGGCTTCGCTCTCTTGGGGGCTTTTTCTCCTTTCCACTCCTAGTATCTCACATGTTCTCAAATCTGCTGCTGAAAGCATTAGATCATTGCCTGAAAATGTACTTCAGTCATGAAATCAAAACATACACCCAAGCCATGATAGGCAGCTAACTTCTTTGCAGCAAAGGTGTGTGCATGCATGCTTTTGTGAATGCAGGGAGGAGAAACAGCACTAGAGAAAGCAACCTTCTGCCTGTCTCCTTTAGGTCTGATTTCCCTTGAGGAGTTTCGCCACACATGGAAACTCTTCACTTCTCACCTGGGCATTGATGTAACCGATGAATCCCTTGACAAGTTAGTCCTCAGCATAGACTACAACAAAGATGGCTACATTGACTTCAATGAGTTTTTAGAGGCCTTTCATGTGGTTCATAGACTAGAGAGAAAGGCAAACTCATGAAAAAGCAGATCTTCTTGTGGACTATCATGGCAGCTCACATTCCCATTGAAATCATAAGCAGTCTGGGAAACCGGTAATAAATGGCTCAATATGGTACTCATGGCTGTCACTGCGTAAGCATTTCTTTTGTCCCTTTTGGGTGACATACACCTGACAGTAATGAGACCGAGGAGATGAAAACCCACTGCTTATGGTATTACTGTGCCACTGCCATATCAGTACCTTTACAACTTATCCTCCCCCCTTGGTGGCATCTCCTCCATCCATCTAAGCCATGAACACTGCTGCGGATGCACCTTCAGCCCCATGAGATGAGAAACTTGGGCATGTTTGACAGCAGCCCTTAGCAATGGCTGAGAACAGCACTGGTAACCATAAGGAACATACCAGACCCTCCCTGGTGATACCACAGGCACAACAGCCCCGGAGAGGAAAACAAGGCAGAACACCATCTAGTTAAAATACACGGTTTTGCTTTTAATCCTGCTCCTTGCATGACACAGTGGAATTACAACATTCCAGGTCACTACCTACCCTCCTCCTTAAGAGTTTACAGGCACAGCTCAGGAGGATCTTAGTTGAATGGCATTTACTCTTGCACCAGGTTTCCTCTTGCCACTGGTTACTCTTCCCTGCATTTCTTGGCATTTGGAGCTAAGCAACAATCATAACTTGTCACCCCAACGAAGGCTGAAGCCTCAGCATGCTCATGTCACCTATGCTAGATCACTAAATAAAGCTTTGGCTTCCACAGTAACATTTAAGTGTAGTGTCTTTTTGCCCGTATTTTGGAATCCTACGCACATCTGCGTACAACACACTCTTCCTGAAGATGACCTTTAAAACACAGAAATTGACAAGAATCCCAAGTAAACAAATTTTGATACTACCACGCCTAAATATTCTTGCATGTAGTTAAGCATAAATGCTGTACCAAGTAAACTGACAAATTCTGAAACTGAGTGTTGGGAACACAGCAAGATGAAAGAGCCCAGTGCCCCCACACCCCATCCTGGGCTGCCAGCCAATACTCCTGTTCCTACCAGTCCCATCCACCTGCCCAGAGAGGAGAGTGGGGAGACCTGAATCTCTTGCATGTCCCAGTTGGAGAGAAATACATGGACATGAGGGGAAGCATGGCCAGGTCAGGCACTTTCTGAAAACAGCATTACCTAATTCAGCCTTAGTACATCCAGTGTGCCCAAAGTGCTTTTTGGGTAGGGAAAGATTCCA